GGTATGCTTGTTGAGAGAAGAGAAGCAGAGGCGGGGTATATATACATTTCTCAAGAATGACGACTTTTCCAAAACTCCAAATTCCTCAACTCTTCCAAACTACTAAAATCTTGAAGTCATAATCATATTGTTTGAATAATCAAGACACTACCGAAAGCTAAATAGGATCAATTTTCATGAAGACGTGTTTACTAAGTCCTTTATTTAGATTTTGCATAACAAAAAAAAAAAAGCTCAACCTCATATTACTTATCAAAGACTTTGAATAGAACAGGAAAAACTAGTCCACCACTTTGTGGAGAACAAAAACTTTTTCCAACCAGCCCTTCCAAACTACTAAAACTTTGAAAAAGAAAATTAGAAAGAACAAAAATAGAAGAAGAAAACTGTTTTCTTTATTAGTTTTAACCAGTCACTGCATTTTGTTGCAGATTTTTATTTGTCAAGATTGAAGATGAAAAAACTCAAGCTATGTTGAGACAGCCTGAATCTTTGAGAACAAAACTCTTGAATTGCATTTAACATTATTTGGTGAATTTTTATCTTGATTAGTCTATTTGGGTTGTTACCTATTGAGCTGAGACTTTAGATAATTTAGTTTTAGACCATGGGCTAAATTAACAAATGAACTTTGTGCACTCGCTTGTTTTGAATTTCAATTTGAAACCGTACCTCAAGCATTTGCATTTGAATGCAAAGATGTATTGTTTGAATGAGCACAAGCTCAACCAATTCGTAACCATTCTAGTGCATTGCACATTCAACACGGGAATTGTCAGCTTGAACTAAGACAAATTAATTCAGTCATGGCTAAAAGCTGTTTTTTTTGGCTTTTTTAGTCACATCATCTCTCTATTTTTTTGCACATTTTTAAAAAATAAAATAAAATAAAAAAATCAGCTTTTAACCTATTTCTTAAAACAAGCCAAAACAAAAAAAGTGACAGTCATTTGCTTAAAAAGAAGGCCTCAATGAAATGGTTTATTGCAAACATTTTATAAACAAATAAGAAGAGTTAGAAGAGACAGGAGCCGGTCCCATATCTACAGATTAAAAAGGGCAAAGGGCTCTAAGCATGGCTTTCTATAGCTATTAGGAAAAGGGAATATTGCAGTGCTTTGACAGTTGACACATAAAAATGAAAGCGTAGTTAAAAATAGGAATATGCCTTATATAGCGTCCGCCTCCAGTGTCTTTTCCTCCATTTAGATGCTGAACTTCACTAATGACATAGTGATTCTGCTGATAGTTATTTCTGTTGGCTGGCGGTTTGGGGGTAGGTATGTTATTCCTTGGGGGCTGTATCAAGAGAGATGCATAAGATAGGTATGATACACCTTCTAAGTTGTGGTGCCTTGGTTTTCTTTCTTTCTAATTGGCCAAGCTGCAGGTCCCCTCAAGGGAGGGAAAGGTGAGGCACCTCGACAGACTATTTAACTGTGGCAACCAAGTTACAAATCCTCTGGTGACCCTGAGCTAGGAGGCCTTGCTCCCAGCTTAGGAAGTTGTCATCAGGATAGCCCTAACATTGTGACATTTCATAGTCGATTTATTAAATGACTTTGTGAATCTGTTATGGATCCACAAATTTTATTTATTTATTTATTTATTTTGACGAGGTCAATTAATTAGAAAGCGCCTAATGGGGATGATTCCCAAAATACTGGTATGACTCCACTTTTCCAGCTGACCAATAAAGATTCCAGTAAAGGTGTTGACTTCCTTGTCAAATTAGGTTAATATATGTTTTATTCTCTGTTGCATTGTTGTATGTGTAACAGAATCTACCACAGGTTTGACAACTAAATTTATCTATAGCTTATGTGACAGTAGTTCCGTCATTGAATTGCATTAAATACATTAAGCTTAATTGTTCTTTGGCATTTATTTTCAGGCATTGTAACTTATCCACATAAAGTGTTTCTGATGGAATCTGTTAGGTATCAGGCTTGATGTGCCTATGGCATGAGCTCTGTACTTTTTGGAAGTTTTTTTTTTTTTTTTTTTTTTTTTTTTTTTTTTTTTTTTTTTTTTGTTTTTTTTTTTTTTTTTTTTATGTGTGTGTGTGATGTATTGGTAAGGCTCTGGTATTACAATGGAAATGTAGGACTTGAATTTGGTGGTTTGTGAATAATAGTCTATGATGATATGCTGACACTTTGAGTATTGGAAACTGTGGTGCTTGTGATAAAAGAAAAGAAAATAAAATAGGATAAAATACAAGAGGAAGAAACGGTGGGTATGGTGATATGGGGGAGAGACACAAGCTGGACACACACAGAATACACAGGACACAAAAAAAGGAGAAGATAAAATAAAGAAAGGGATTTTATTTTGTGGAGAGGGAGTCGGTGAGTGGAGTGCAAAAGGTGAAGGAGAAAGGATGGGTTGAAATTTTTTTTTTTTTTTTTTTTTTTTGGTCAAAAGTGGTGGTGATTAAAAATAAATAAAGAAGTGGAGAAGTGTGCAAAAGTGGACACTCCCCATTGGATTCACGGTATTCACGGTCTACCTAGCCACCTCATCACTTTTGGCTCATCAGACACACCCCTTTGTGAGAGAGAGAGAGACAATAATGAGGTGAGTTTGTGGGGAGGGAGATCGTTGACTCGGTCGAAAACGAAGAAGAGCGAAGCGCCGATGGCTCGCTGAGATGGTCACAGAGAGAGAGAGACAACGTATACTGATTAGCCTCATAGCTGAAGAGAGAGAAAGAACAAGAGAGAAAGTTTGTTCCTGACGTCAATCATCATTTCCGATCAGAGGTGGTCACAGATCTGAGATCGGTGTCTTGGCAAGTTTGTTCTGTTGGTGTGGTTGGATTGATTTTCACGGTGTCTTCTCTGTTCTCGAATGTTATCAGTACTTTTTCCTTGGCTCTTACTCCTATTGCTGCAGTGATTTTCTTCCACGACAATTTTTCTCCAGTGTTCGCGGCCGTGGCCGTCTCGGACCATGAGGCTTGAGAATCGGGGGTGTTTGATCATGACGGAGTTGCTGATTTCCGATTTGATTCATGTTTGATCATGACGGAGTTGCTGATTTCCGATTTGATTGAATCGATGTTGATGGGGTTTGTGACGCCGATGAGGCAATGGATGATTTGGTTCGTTTCGGAATGCAAGAAGAGTCGGCCTGTTGGAGTTAGTGGCTCGTCTCTCTCTTCTTTGGGTTTAGCCATTGCACAGAGAGAGAGAGAGAGAGTGTGTGTTTGGTGTAGGTGACCAAGATGGATGATGGTGATGATGCTCTGATCTTGAAGGTGAATGTTGAATTGGGTTTAGTGGCAGCGGAGTCAAGGAATGTGTAGAGGTCCGGCGGGCGGCCAAGGCGAGGCTGCTGCCCGCCGGTGAAGCAGAATGACTAGGTTGTTAACCTAGCTCTGATACCATGAAAGATAAATTGATGTATTTATTATTGATTGATATGTATATATTACAAGATTGATGTGTGTGTTTCTGTATTGTATGTATTCATTACAAAGAAATGAACTCTCTCTATATAGAGAGAAATGGTGCATTGGATACCAAACCCACCACCACCGAAAGTGAAAGCTAAAAGAATAAAGCTTAAAGCTAAAGTGTGTAAAGCTATAATTAACAACTATATACAATTAACAATTATATACTAATTTAACAATTATATTAACACTACTAAAACTTTGAAAAAGAAAATTAGAAAGAACAAAAATAGAAGAAGAAAATTGTTTTCTTTATTAGTTTTAACCAGTCACTGCATTTTGTTGCAGATTTTTATTTGTCAAGATTGAAGATGAAAAAACTCAAGCTATGTTGAGACAGCCTGAATCTTTGAGAACAAAACTCTTGAATTGCATTTAACATTATTTGGTGAATTTTTATCTTGATTAGTCTATTTGGGTTGTTACCTATTGAGCTGAGACTTTAGATAATTTAGTTTTAGACCATGGGCTAAATTAACAAATGAACTTTGTGCATTCGCTTGTTTTGAATTTCAATTTGAAACCGTACCTTAAGCATTTGCATTTGAATGCAGAGATGTATTGTTTGAATGAGCACAAGCTCAACCAATTCGTAACCATTCTAGTGCATTGCACATTCAACACGGGAATTGTCAGCTTGAATTAAGACAAATTCATTCATTCATGGCTAAAAGCTGTTTTTTTTTTATTTTTTTAGTCACATCATCTCTCTATTTTTTTACACATTTTTAAAAAAATAAAATAAAATAAAAAAATCAACTTTTAACCTATTTCTTAAAACAAGCCAAAACAAAAAAAGTGACAGTCATTTGCTTAAAAAGAAGGCCTCAATGAAATGGTTTATTGCAAACATTTTATAAACAAATAAGAAGAGTTAGAAGAGACAGGAGCCGGTCCCATATCTACAGATTAAAAAGGGCAAAGGGCTCTAAGCATGGCTTTCTATAGCTATTAGGAAAAGAGTGAGATTTTCAAAAAAACAATTAAAATTGATGAAAAACTTTATAAATTAAAATAATAAAAATTTGCATATATCTGTAATTATTTTTTTGAAAGCTACACTAATTTGTAATTTCCCCCTTAAAAAAAGAAAGAAGGAAGATTCGGGTATGTTTGATTTGTGTTTGAGAGATGTGTTTTAGAGATAAAAAGTACGAAAAGTTGTTTGGTTTGATTTTTTTCAAAAGATGTTTTGAAAAATTATTTTGAGAAAGTTTTGAAAAAAGTGATTGATTTGATGTGTGTGAGAGAGATTTGTTTGGAAAACTTGTTTGGTTTACAAGTTTTGAGAAATTTTTTTGGGAAAATTTGTTTGGTTTGATTACTTTTAAAAACTTATTTGTAGAGAAAATTTTCCAAAAATTTTTCAGAAATACAAACCAAACGAACCAAATTGACAGATGACACATGGTGTGTTAAAGATGTTTATCATTCAAGATGAAATCAATATTGGAATTTGGTTATGCACGATGTACAAGGATCCCTACTAAGCATTCATGGCTGAATGATTAAAATGTCCAACTCATAATTGGGAGTAATGTTATTTTCTCAAACAGAAGGCCACCATGAAATGGTTTTATTGCAAACATATTATACATAAATAAGACTACATTACCAAAATTTTACATAAACTTGAACATCATTGCAGTAGATCCTGCATAGAATTGAACTAACCTATGGCTTGGTTTTCCATGACCAGTTTTTCTAAAATAGTAGAACAATTAAATAAAAAAAGGATATTCAATCCTCTGGTGCAAAATGCGTCGGGGATGCTAAGCACTGCGTATTTTCTGTCATCAATCATCGAAGCTCAGAGTTTAATGGTTCCCAATAAAGGTCTGACTTCAACTGTTTGCCGACTTTTCAAAATTAGAATTTGACCTTGTACTGTACTCTGCAACAAGCTTCGCGAACGAGGATGACTTATTTTCAAGCAACTTTGTTGGAGAATCAAATTCCTTAATAAGTCCTGCACCATAACAAAAGAACAAAAATAAGAATGGTAAAAAATTACGAAGATCTCAAAGCAAGTCTTTTTTTAGTGATAGATGGATAGGGTTTATACGAACCGTGATCTAACAGTAGAACCATGTCACTATCAACCACAGATGTTATCCTATGTGCAATGGTTAACACTGTACAATCCGTGAAGTGTTGCTTAAGCGTTTGCTGAATAAGATTGTCAGTCGCTGTATCAACTGACGCCGTAGCTTCATCAAGCACCAAGACCTTGCTCTTCTTGAGTAGCACCCGGCCGAGACAAACCAGCTGCCTCTGACCCATGCTCCAATTCTCCCCATTCTCTGTAACTGCAAAAAATACGACACTAGGAGGTAAGAACTTGTCTGCCATATAAGTTAAATATATATATATTTTTAAATTTATAATAACAGTGTGAGAAGATAGTGGATGAAAAACCTGCTGAATCAAGCTTGCCTTCCTTGTTCCTGACTTCATCTCCAAGTTGGCACTTATCAAGAGCCTAAAACAATGAAATAGATACTTTCAATGTAATCCAAACAAGAATTCAAATATACAGGAGAGAAAAAATTCCCTTTATCTTAGTGCCAAACAGCGAAAACATTTAGAGGAAAACAACCCACCTCCCAAATCTGTCCATCTGTGTGCTCTTCAAGTGGGTCCAGGTTGCTTCGCACTGTCCCCTCAAACATGGTCGGATCCTGAGGAATGATGCTTAATCTAGATCGTAAATCATGTAGCCCAATTGAGGAGATGACGATACCATCTATCAGAATCTGACCAGCTGCAGGTTCAACAATGCGGAAAAGTGTCTGTATGAGGGTTGATTTACCACTGCCCGTCCTCCCCACAATTCCAGTTTTCATTCCTCCAGGGAAAGTACACGTAAGGCCTCGTAACACAAGTGGCATGTGTGGGGCATATCGGACCTACATTCATGTTCAAGGCATCCGGTATAAAATAACTCCACAAACACGAAACTCATTTGCTAATATGGAGAGTGAAAATTGGCCTCACCTGTAGATCTTTGATATGAACATCTCCATGTGATGGCCACTGACTATCTGGTCTATTTTCTTCTATCACAAGCGGGGGCTCACTTTGGATAGATGTGTATTGAAATATTCTTTCAACAGATATGATTTTATTCTCCAGATTGCAAAGATTCCATATAACCCATACTTGTAACATGTTCAGATTAAGCCCGTATGTCACTGCTAACCCCGCAACACCTATAATTCAAAAAATGAGTTGGTCATCAAACTTCGAACACTTGCAGGGGTGTGCAAAAGAAGGACATTGATAGGGAACGGAAAGGAGTTGGTAGCAGAAATAGGGCTTAACAATTAATTTTTGATAATATTTTATTTTTTGGCAACTTTTTAGTTAGGGTTTCTTGAATTCTTATAAAGACCATCATGTAATATGTTAATTTAGCTTTGAATTAATGCGATATTGAGTAGGTTGTGACCACTGTGAGATTAGGGTGTTATTCTTCCTATGTTCTTATTGATATTTTTTATCTTTCTCTTTTAAATCAATTCTCTCATATATTCTTGTTTTGGAATCAATTGAATAGTTGAATGAATTTCTTAATAGCAGTTCAACATCAAGAAGTCAATAAAGATGGGGAAAAAAATTTACTTGGATCAATTGCTCCTGTTGGCATAGAGATCAAGAAAACCAAAGAGAAAGCAAATGTAATAGAAGACAACACATCCAAGCGGAAGCATAGCCACTCCATTGCAGCAGCGGAGTAGAACTTCGGCCTAGAATGCGCATCTATCAGTTTCATACTCAGCTCCTTGAATCTCGGTTCCTGATCAAAGCTCCTAATGGTTGTTGATCCTGAGATGGTTTCAGCAAAATGCTGTATAACTGGAGCTTTGCATACTCCAACTAATCGTGCCAGTTCTCGCGCTGAAGGTATGTAATATTGCTGCAATAAATTAGAACTTTCATTAATCTTGCATGGATATGACATTTGTGTTTGTGTAACTCCGAAAATTGGAATAATAAAATTTGAATTATCTAGTAAAATAAAATCACAAAACTATTACACATCCAGAAATTTCTATGCTTTCCACTGATTTTCTCTACTTTGTTTTTCCCCTTATTCCAAGCAGCATTCTTGTAAATATAGTTATAATATAGAAAAGAACCTAAAAAACTCAACAAAAAAAGAATTTGAAAACAGATAAAAGAAAACCATTAAATTTCAAATAGTATGGAACAAAGATAGACGGGAATCAAAAGCTTTAAAACCCTGAAGTTAGAGACTGTAGTAACAGACCAACACACAAGCTTAAAAGACTGACAATCTTATTGACAACGCTTTGAAATCCATATTGAACACTAAACTATGACAAAATGGATCAATTCTCTGTGCTTGAGATAGATAACTACCTGTAACCAAACACAGGTTGCAATCACTGGAATAAATATTATGAACACCTGCCACGCAACCTGCGACATTACTGTAATAATTCCAAGGAGCTGTATCATTGAGAAGGCAAATGACCCAACTTGAAACGGAATGTTCAAATCCACTGCACTTTGATCTGTTGATGCCTGCAAGAGGAAAACAGATTGATCAACTAGAATTCTAAGTCATCTAACCACACAAAATCACCGATTACAATCTATTCGATCAAAAGATGGAGGGAAAACTCTATTCATATATAAAATTCATACACAAAACTTCACAAGAATGATGTGACAATGCCATTATTGTAAATAAACTCATCTTTGATGATGATTTGTTTCGAAGTGAAAGGTACAAGGTTGCAATCACTGGAATAAATATTATGAACACCTGCCACGCAACCTGCGACATTACTGTAATAATTCCAAGGAGCTGTATCATTGAGAAGGCAAATGACCCAACTTGAAACGGAATGTTCAAATCCACTGCACTTTGATCTGTTGATGCCTGCAAGAGGAAAACAGATTGATCAACTAGAATTCTAAGTCATCTAACCACACAAAATCACCGATTACACTCTATTCGATCAAAAGATGGAGGGAAAACTCTATTCATATATAAAATTCATACACAAAACTTCACAAGAATTATGTGACAATGCCATTATTGTAAATAAACTCATCTTTGATGATGTTTTGTTTCTAAGTGAAAGGTACATAATAAGTCACCTCATTATATATGAAAATTATGAATGAATTTTTATTTGTATAGCATTACTCAAGATGAATACACTTACTCTATTTAAGATTCGACCACTTGGTGTGGCGTCAAAGAACGACATGGGAGCACGAAAAATGCATAAATGCATTTTATTGAAGAGTGTAGTGGCAGTCTTGTACCCAGCCGTAACGAGAAGTACAGATCTGGCCAAAACACAGAAAGCACTTCCAATTGCCAAAGTCACGTAGACGATCATGAGAGTAGAACCTCCAACTGGAGCCTCCACGTCCTTCGACACAGGCGTTGCCCAAGCCATCCAATAATTGCTTCCTATTTGAAGCATCTGAAATAAAATTTGTGCCAACAAAACGAAGGGCACAAGAGCTCCTCCGTACGCTGTTGTTATGTATTTCCAGTAGACCGAAAGGCCAACTCTGCCTTTCTCTCTTTCTTCTTCTTGAACAATCTGTCCTTTTTGTCCTGCTGTACCATCTGGTTTACCATTTTGACCATGCCCGGCTTCCTCTTTCTGGACAGATTTCTGAACGCTCCCCAAACCACCGTCTTCCTCGCTGACAGTCAATTTTTCCGAGCATGACTCAGCCACTGTGGAATCTAGTGCTGATAAAGCTTCCTTATGTGCACCAACAAGTTCCATAAAATCACTCCCGGAATTGAGAATGTCATTGTATTTCCCGGCTTGAGTGATCCTTCCGTCTTTCATGACCTAACGACAAAGTAAGTTAATTCCTTGAGTTGTGAATTGCAAGCACAAAGAAATGGAAGAAACAAAGAGATGAATAGCTCACCAAGATGAGATCTGCCGCTGGTAAGAACTCTACTTGATGAGTAACAAAAATCACTGTTTTTGAATCCAAAAGCCCCAATAAACATTGCTGTGATACAATGATTAGAAGAAGGCTTCAGTAAATAATTATCTAAATTTTAAACAAGAAAAAGAAAAGAACAAACAATTGAGAATGAAATAGAGCAGAAGAAATTTATATGGCAAAGAAACACAATGACCTCAAACCATGTTGCCTTTTCAAGGACAAGAATCTAGTATGCATACTGCAATATCAGTATAGATTTTGACCCAAAAAAATCTAGACTTTTACTAGAAAGCTATGTTGTCAAACAATTTATTAAAAAACAAATAATAACAATGTACAGAAGGCAAATAGTTAGGAGTAGGGATAAAAGGTAGTCACCTTAAAGAGATGGCTGCCGGTATGAGCATCCACAGCACTAAATGGATCATCAAATAGATAAATATCCGCATCTTGGTATAGAGCGCGTGCAATCTGTATCCTCTGCTTCTGTCCCCCACTCAAATTGATTCCCCTCTCACCTATGACTGTCTGATCACCAAATGATAGAATTTCCAAGTCCTTCTTCAAAGAACATGCTTCAAGGACCTTCTCATACCTTTCCCGATCCATCTCCTCGCCAAACAGTATATTCTCTTCTATCTTTCCGCTCTGTATCCATGGCGACTGAGCAACATACGCCTTCATTCCACAGAGCTTAACAGTGCCTGATATTTTTGGAACTTCTCCCAAAATACAGGAGAGCAAGCTCGACTTTCCCGAGCCAACTGTCCCACAAACAGCAACCCTCATGCCGCGAGACACTTTGATGTTTATATCTTTCAATGTTGGATTAGGAAAAGACAAGTCCCAAGAGAAATTCCCATCAATTATCTCAATTGCAATGTCTGAACTACCTCTAGGAAGTTTCTCTAGAACATCATGTGGTAGGTCATCAAGGCGAAGGAACGAGGCGATCCTATCAAGGGAAACTTTAGTCTGAATTATCATTGAGATTGTATCTGGTAGGTTATAGATTGGCTCTTGAAGGATTCTAAATGTTGCGAGCGCAGATAAGATCTTCCCCGATTCAAGTGGGATCCCCAGAAGCAAACAAGCCCCGAAAGTGATAACTGACACAAATGTAGGTGCTCCCCAGAAGACAAAAGTTGTCATGGCTGCAGTGTACATGTATTTTCTTAACCACCCTTCTTCAGTGTTCCTGAGCTCACTAACTTTCGACAAAAACTTCATTTCCCAAGCCTGAAGCTTGAGAATCCTCATGTTCCTCAAGATTTCGGATGTTGCCTTCATTCTTTTATCTTTTGATGCCATTAACTTCTCCTGAAACTTCTCCTGAAATCTCCCAATTGGGACATTCACCAACATCACCAACACGGTGGCAACTAATGCAGCAATGGATGCAACGCCAAGGTTTTTATACAAGATCACCAAGGCCAGAACAACTTGCAGGATCACCAACCACGGATCATGCATGTACCAACTAAAATCTGCAACCCTCTCAGCATCGACAGACATGAAATTGATGATCTCCCCACTTGTGTGTCCCTTTTTTGACTGGCCCGAAATGGTCAAACCCTTTTTGTATATCATGGCAACAAGTACTGCCCTGGCTCTAATTCCAGCCTTTTGCAACATAAAGGCCCAGTGCCTCTGCGACAAGCACTCAACAAGCTTCGCAATGAAAAATGCAGAAACCAAAGCCAACCCTTCGTTTTCAAAGGTTTGATGCCCATTAAGGTACTGAACAAAGGTGTCAATGAGGTATGGACCAACATAAGAAGCAAATGTGTAGACAAGTGCTAAAAGAGCTGTTATCAGAATCTCCTTCCATGTTGTGAAGATCACAGCCTTCACAAGCTTGATTGTGGTGATTTTACCATCACTACCACTATCAGACTCTGCTAGCTGAGTTGTAAAAATTTGAAAAGCCCCTTTGACACTGTCGACACCATCGAGTTGAGGAACATCGTCGAGGTCTAATGCTTTCTTGTAACCGGTTCCGATCAAACGACCCATCCAAGAGAATGTGAGGATACTAAAAATACTAGCATTGGAACAAGGGGCAACAATTCCACCTACACTAGACTTGTTTGACTCTGTTCCATTACTTGTTAGATTAGAACTAGCATTCAAAAGGGGTTCTTGAAGAAGGGTTTCTTCACTTGCCTTCTTCCCCAAAAACCCCACAAAACAGAGGAACAGCCCAGAAACTGTGGAAATCACATCAGAGACCAACAACTGAGTTGGTAAAGCCTGGTCTTCTTTCTTAAAGAAGAAGTCTATGACAAGGGAATAACAAGAGATTAAGAAGTAAAAGCCCCACCAAATTCTTAACGAAATTGGGTGCTTTGGTTCACCCGAATTAACAAAATGGGTGTGTAAATAAACAGAGATTGATAACCAAGCGAGTGTTCTGAGTACTGAATCCAAAAGGGTTATAACCTTTTCATCAGACCAACCGTTTCTATACCAAAAAAAGTAATTCAAAAAACAAAGGACGAGATTGAAGATTGAAAGACCCAAACAACAAAACAGAATTGGATTATAATACGAAAAGCTAGATTTCCTAGTACTCTGTTTCGGACCTTCATTGCGACGACCCACCCTGATTTTCCTGCAAACCCATGAGAGAAACAGAGAAAGCAACAAAACCAGGTGCAATGAACCAGAAAAGCCACGTAAAAAGATGGGTTGGAGGAGGAAATCAAAATCACTGGGTGTGTACATCAAAGAAGATGAGTGAGAGAGGAAAATCGACATACCCATTTTCGATGATTTCAGAAGCTCCGTGTTTGTGGGGGCGTTTGGCTTCTGAGAAAGATGGGGTATGCCTGAATTTTTTGAGATGGATTTTGATCTGATAGACTGATTTCAGGTGGCATAAATATAGCCATATAGTGTATATATATATAAGTTGAAGTTGGAGTTGGAGGCAAATTCAATTATAATAATAAGAAAATATCGAAGTGGACAGATGAGAGTCCAAGAGAGAGAGAAAAGGGGTTAGGGTTTTCCATTGACTTTTTAAAAAGTTTGTTGGTTATTATAATTACAATTGTCCTATTTTATTTTATTTTTTTTGAAAGATAGGATTGGTTTGAAAAATTTTAAGAACTAATTTGGCATGTTCAAAAAAAAGATGAAAAATTAAAAAGTTATTTAAAAATTAAAAAATTATTACTATTTATTAAAAAAAATATTAAAAAATTAATTTTATATACAAAATTACAAGACAGATGTGACCAGTTTAGATCTGGAGCTGCCTTTTTTAAGAAAAATTACACAGTTGGGGTGTAATTTTAACACACTGTTGTTCGGCTTGTGGGGGCCATCACGGGTCCCATTTTGATAATCTGAACCATTAATGTGTAGAACTCGTCGAGTACTATACGTTTGTAAAAAAATCAGATTAATCAGATATCGCTAACTACATGATTAAATCAGTTTTGTATAAAAAATGGATGGTATTATAGTTAACTATTGAAAAAAAAACTAATCTAATCAGATAGCTATCGATATCCGATTAACGTGATTTTTTTACAAACATATAGTACTCGACGAGTTCTACACATTAAACGGTTCAGATTATCAAACGGGACCCATGATGGCTCCCACAGGCTGAACAGCACCGTACAGTGCAATGCCTGAAAAGTAGCCAATCATTTCTTAGCATCAATTCACATGCCCAGATGGTACGGCTGTCCAACTCGCCCTTCTAATCTTCTCTTGCACACTAATTTGTACAATTTTTTAATACATATTTTTTCATAAAAAGTCAAAAAGTTAACCTAAACAACCATATTTTTTTCTCAACTTTTTAGTCTAAAAAATCAAAAAGTACATTTATTTAGGACATCTCAAATAATCTTTAAATAAAGATATTTTTTGATTTTTTTATAAAAAAATAAAAATGAATAGAAAAGTAGGAAGAAAATATTGATTAATGTCATCTAAATAAGTATACTTATACAAAAAAAATACACTTATATACATATGAGGCTAAATACTACTCATTTTAACTTAGTTCTATTTAAAGAGTTTTGTGAAATTCTTTAAATAATTTATATAAATAAATAATTAAAATAAAGAGTAATTTTAAAATATATAAATGAAAAAGTGATTAAATAAAATAATTTTATTTTATATATATATTTTAACTAATAAAAAAATAAAGAATAGTGTTAGAGTTGCTCTGCTTGCGTGGGCGTAGGATAACGTGGTGCGCAAGCCTCAGTTGACGGAGAAAAACCAACAACGCAAAAGACAAGTGGGTGTGGGCTGGAGTAGGGATCTTCTTCCAAGGAAAGGCGTTAAATTTTAGAGACAGAAATATATAAAATGCTATCAAACAATTACATAATCAACATAAGATTTAATCATTAGAAAGAACATTTTAGGGCTCATTTACCATGTGAGTTGACTTTTTAATTTAGGCTTAAAAAATTTTATTTCGAATAAATTTTTTAATTTTTTTAATTTTTGTGAAAGAAAAAATAAAATGATTATAGATTAAAAATAATATTTTGTCTTATTTAATTAAAATAATCTATTTTGTCTTATATACCTATTTTAGTCCAAATTTTCATCCCAAACGAACTCTTAGTGAAGTCATATGGATAAGGGCTTTTTTGGAAAGATAGCTAAAAATTAAATTTTGATTTTTAACTTATTTTAAGTCATATCACTTCTTTATTTTTTACATATTTTTTTAAAAAAATTAAAAAAATAAAAAATCAAATTTTAACCAACTTTTGAAAGCAATCTCAAATTATATTTTATGTACGGTCATACTAAGAAATAACTATTTATGTTCTACTACATTTAATGAGTCCTGAAATTTGTTAAAATATTATTTTTAAATATAAAAAAGTTTAAATATTACTTATAAGGGTTTTGTCACTTTTTAAAGATGCATTAACTCATCTTAATCAATCACACTATCATAGAAACTTAAATTAAATATTGTATTGTTACAGACTTTCTCCGTGCTCCAACACTCCTTCTAGACCCAACTCTACCGAACGTGCCGCTAATCCGGCTGACCGAAGAACAAGAGATGGCAAAACGAAGCCGCATCAAGAACCTCCTCACAGCCACTTCAACCGAGATACCGAGCATCATTACCCACCCGCCAGCTGCCGGTCAATCCAACGGTTGCCTTGGCATCTCCAGCCGCCGGGCAGGCCAGACAAGAGACTCGCCGGGCTGGCAAAAGACCTCGCGCAGACCCATCTGCCGAGCTAACCATCGAGCAACCCGCCGTCACCGCCGACCCCACACCATCATGGCGACCACAGCTAAAGCACCGGGGTAAAGACATCCCGGCTAACGCTTCCGTCAAGGGCGATAAGGAGCACTCGCTCGTCTTCGACCTTTCAAAAGCCCTTCTGCTGCCGAGCGACGTGGTTGGCAGCGACCACGTCCCTGACACCTAGTTAGCGAAATCCGCCGTGAAGTCTATGACCAGGGTAAGAATCTCAATCTTCTACTGAAATTTTTTCAAGTGTTTGCACGGTTTCTTCTCTGATCAAATTTTCTTCTTGTAGGATCCAAAAGCAACACTTGGTCATGGAGCGCATCCATCGATTGCGGCAAAAGGCGAATGACACTGCCAGCCAAGTCCAAAGCCTTCAAACCGAGCTTGGCCGAGCAAAGTCGTCACTTCAAATCGCCAATGCTGAAAACAACAGGTTGCTCGGCCAGCTTGACGAAGCCGAGAAGAAGAGGGATGAGCTCCAGGCCGAGCTGGATGTACTCAAGAAGTCAAAGGAGAAGGAGTACGAAGATGCCAACAACGCCGGCTTCAAGGAAGCCGAGGACAGCTACAAGAAGCAGGTCTTCGCAACTCAAGACATTTATTTCAAAGCGGGCTGGAAGTCTACCTGCGAACATCTCGGTCAAGGTCCTGATACCGACGTGTTTGCCACTCCGCCGCCTGTCTTCCTACCGACCTATCTCGTTCCATATGCCAACGACGTCTTCAGCGCGTTGCAGGCTGAGGCCGAGGAAGGTCTTGAAGAAGAGGCCGAGGCAGATACTGAGGGAGAGGACCACCAAGAACAGGAGCAGCCCGGCCGAAATGAGCCCAGTGCCTACGATCAAACTCCAACGATCAACTTGGAGGCAACCGAGGATGAGTTCACTAACCTTTGCCCCTTAGCGTAGCTTTTCTTTTCGTTTTTTTTTTTTTTACTTTGCACATGTAACCGAGCTCTCTGCCCCTCCTTTTGTACTTCTTTTTTCATTAATGAAAAAGATCTAGTTTCACAAGTGTTGCACGGTCCTAGAGCTGAGTAACTTCAACCGAACAAAATATCTCGGCAAGACAAATTTCATTAATTAACTCACATAACCGGAATAAATCATCTCGTTAGTACACCTAGAGTTGAGAAAAACATCAAGTCTTTCAACGGGAATAAACATCTCAGTTGAGAGTGCCTAAGTTGAGCAAAACATCAACTCTTTCAACCGGAATAAACATCTCGGTTGAGAATACCTAAGTTGAACAAAACATCAACTCTTTCAACCGGAGTAAACATCTCAGTTAAGAGTACCTAAGTTGAATAAAACATCAACCCCTTAAACCGGAGTAAACATCTCGGTTGAGAATACCTTAGTTGAACAAAACATCAACTCTTTCAACCGGAGTAAACATCTCGGTTGAGGGTACACAAAACTCAAAACAACAAAAAATGCTAAGGCAAAGATGAGTCACTTCTATATATTGACAAAAATGAATATTACATGAAGTGTAAGGCAAAAAATTCCTTTGCACAAAAAAGAGAGCAAAAGTTAGAAATAATACAACTTAAGGTTGGCTGCATTCCATTGTCGGGGTATTCCTCTACCATCCAAGTCCTCCAAGTGATATGCCCCCTTGCCCGCCAGACCGGTTATCTTGTAGGGTCCTTCCCAATTTGCCCCTAGTTTGCCTTCACCTGGCACCAGGGTGTTGCCCATAACTTTCCTCAAAACCCAATCACCTACTTTGAACGGTCTGGGGTGCACCGTTTTATTGTACTTCCTTGAAAGCTCTTGTTGGTAGGCAGCGATATGGATGAGAGCCTTTTCCCGGCGCTCTTCTACTAGATCCAATTCACCCGAGAGTCGAGAACCAAGCCCCCTATGGAGTAACTGCGCAAGGAGGCATGATAGAGGAACACGAGAGGCACGGACGATAGTTGGTAAGCATACACATGTTCTTGCGTGTAAATTTTCTGTGCCCACACACCTAGTACTTGTACCTCTGCTGACAGACAAGTGGAAAACAGCAAAGAGTTCATGAGGAAACACCGAGTCACGGCTATTTCGGTGCGGCGCGACCTGTTCTATTCTCACAAGTGCTGACATGGCGCTTAACAACATATAAGCTACTAGGGGACTGGCCACTTGAATGATCGCGTGTTAGGCACCCACTGCAAGCCACCAGAGAGGGACCCCGGATCAGTAATCTTTTTGCAAGAGTGACAGCAAGGCTCGCGCGCAGAGAGGGACTCTATATTGGAAGTTAATTCACGAAAGGCATATACGAGAAATATTTTCGAGCGAGCGAGTGTGCGCGAGGAGGTGCAGCAAGGCAAAGATGCAAAAATAGAATTAATCTATATTATAGCAATTTAGACGATCAAAGCTGGGTGTTCCGAAGCGAAGCGAATCGAGAGCTAGCATGCATATATGACCCTCTTTCACAAAGAGCAGACTCTAACTTGCTACCATTTAAAGAGAGCAATAAAATATAATTATGTTAATGTTAAACTAAAGGTTTTGTATGAATAAAAGAGAGATTAAGCCTCGAGTAGAACACTTTATTATAGAGTATCGGACGTGTGTGTATCGATTATTTATTTACTTTTGCCCTCCAAGAGAAGCGGAATACAGAGCACCTACGAGCAATAAGCGTGCGTCGAATGGGTATAGACAGCATGTATTGCATAACAGTCTTCCATTCGTATAAGTGGCCAC